AAGTACCAAATAGACAGGCTAATGTTATTGATGTAAGAGTCAAATCTGTCATAGATGGCATTATAGATAATAGGAAAAAACTAATAATCGCGCCTTTTGATAGAATACATTCAATTTTTGAAGCAAAAAATATTTCACAATGTTTTGGTTTGATAAATCAGTTTTCTAATGGATGTTATTCTGGCATATGATGCACAATATAGATTATTTTATAATTTAAGAAGATTTTTATAGACGGAATAAGCTTATTCGAAAATAAAGTTTTAAATATAATAAAGTAGTTGTTTTTATTTTAGATGCCAATCGTATTTTATTACGACTTAATGTCACAGCCCTGTCGGGCTTTGTATATTTTTCTTAAAATGACAGGCATTCCATTTGAATCGAAAGAAATTGCATTACGAAAACTTGAACAGATGACCGATGAATATGCTCAAATAAATCCATTTAAAAAAGTACCAGTTATAGAAGATTCTGGATTTATTCTTACTGAAAGGTTAAAATAAATGAAGAAAAAGAAATAGTTTATTCGCATAAAATTCTTCTTTTTTTGTTAGTGTGGCAATTTTCAATTATCTTTGTGATAAATACAAAATGCATAATTGGTATCCAACAGATTTAAAACAACGAGCACATGTTAATGAATATGCTCATTGGCAACATTTAAATTTACGTGCTACGGGATCAATGCTTTTTCGTACTAAAGTAAAAAATGAAGATTTTCGACTTTATGAAATATAACAAATAAAGTTTCCTTAAGATCATTACACCTCGTATAGGATCATGCATAAAGGATGTTCAGGTAAAAATCGCATTTCTTAATTCTTCTCCCGATAGTGTGGATCTAGGCGGATATTTGGCCAAAGAAGAAAATCGGACTTTTTCAAGATTTAAATATAGGAAAATATACTTCAAAATATAGTCTATCTAACGATATAAATAATTTTGTTGCAACTCACAAAGAAACTGGAAAACTAGTTGCCTAAAAATTAGCTTGAAAGTCGTCATGTCATCAGGAAAACTTATATCTGAAAAAATTAAATTGTTCAATAAACAAATCAAAATACATTTTTTGAATCTCCAAGCCGAGTTCTGCACAATGGTTAAAAAAATATATTTTAATTTGCAAGTTTAACTTCTGAGAAAAAAATATATTATTCTTTTTCTAGTGTCATCGGAACAGTTAATCCCGTAAAATGAGCACTTCATCCACATCCAACATCTTCTGAATTTTGCCAGAATGCTCTTCTATCTACCGTCTCTAATTTCTGTTAGCACAAACATCCCTGGACTGCACTGTAGATTCTTAAAAGACCTAGATTTCTCAGGTATTTTTCAGTTTTCGTGGCTTTGAAAAAACATTTAATTGACAAAAGTAATATATTTAAAATCAGCACATTAAACTGCGTTGAATGATATATAACGCAAAACAAATTTTCCCCTAAAAATTGTTTTTTTTTTTTCTTAAAAATGCTTTTCTGCATCATATCCGATCATTCTTGAGCAAAAAAGTCCGTTTCCAAGCAAGAAAGTCATATGTCCACCTAACATGCGAAAAATACACACTGTAGTCCCCTGCTTCTGTCCAGTTTCATGGATTTCTCGACACTTCTGGACGTCCAGTATACAAAAAAAACTTTCTAGAAAAAGCCTGTTTGTTCAAACATACTACTTCCTTGTCATTAAATAAATAAAACAATAAACAAAAATATAATCTATTGCAAAGTTTTTGCTTTTTACATACATTGGATTTTAATAAGCAGAAAATCGTCAAAAACAAAAAAATAAACTTCCATACAAATGGTACTTGAAAATCTGACAACGTTCATTGTTATTGCTTCAAAAAATAACTATCCGTCCATGTAGCATGCTCTTCAATTATTTCAAGACTATGTTCATATTCAACGGATTCGAATTCAGTTGATTTCCTATCTGAAAATATTCTTCAACAAAAACTAAGCTTCAACATTTTGCCGAAATTTATGTGAAAAAAAAATGAAGATATTCATAGTAAATGTGTGGACGTTCTACAGTAAAACCTCTAATACTGAACACCCCTCCTTAATGAACAACCTGTTATACTGAACACCTTTCGGTCCCCCCGAGCAAATTTTGCTGGTTTTGACCCCCTCCTAAGTGAAATCCTCGCGATTCTGAATGTGAACGCTTTTTTGTGGTCCCGACTGTATAAATTGCCCCTCCATTGTGAACGACTACTGTGGCGCCATCTATCTCAAAGTTATTTGAATGTATTTTATTGGTCCCTTCCGTATATCGTTCGCCATTGAGATCGAGAGAAAAGAAGAAAAATTCTTAAGATGAAATGTAGAATATTGTCTATTCTCCTTAATTGTTACTTCTTCATTGTTTAACACAACATCTCAGCATGAACTTTATCTACAAATGAAAATGAAAACAATTCAAAGAGCAGAAATATATTCTATTACTGATGTACTTCGACAATCAATTTGAGAACACTTTTTGTGCTGCAGTCACATCGAAGTTTATATTAAAAATTTCATGTTCGTAATCTTCAAAAAGCTCACGATAAGAAGTGCACAGTAGTACATCCTTATATATTTTTGGATAATGAACGATTTTTATAGGATCCAAAAAGGTGTGCATTTATCTTGGTGATTTATTGTCGTAAGACTCCGACATTTATATTTAATAACAGAAAAACTGTCGCAGTGATGGGAAACTCGATGGAACTTATCGAATAACTTTAATCTCATAAGGAGATAAATTAAATAAACTTCGATTTATTTCAGCAAGGGCCTAAAATGTATGTAAAGCTCGAAAAACCTTTGTCTTTTGATGAAACCCCTCCTAAATGATCACCTCGTTATTCTGAACGATTTTGAATAGTCCCATCAGTGTTCACATTAGAGAGGTTTTACTGTATATATTATATTTCATATTTGACGTCGTAGAATAATCTAGAAAAAAAACATCCAATATCGAATATATAAATAGAAAACAGTGGTCTCTATCCAAACAACAATTGGTCCTTCACAATATTCAATCGTCGAGCAAACGTCAAAAACAATATCGAAAATGAACAGACAACGACGACTACGAATGGCTGAAAATTACCTGGTCATCTGGGTCGACGGCAATATCAACATGGGAAATGAAGATTGCCAGAATACACTCGCGCAATTGCGCGGCGTTGTTAATGAAGTTAATCCGTGCACCACGGCCGACCAATGTATCCAGAAACTCCAGGAAAACAATGAGGAGACATCATTTGTCATCTCCTCAGGTGCATTAGGGCAACACCTGGTACCAGAAATTCATGGCATGCCAAAACTGGATGCCATATATATCTTTTGTGGCAACAAGCAACGTCACGAAGAATGGGCTAAAAATTGGCCCAAAATTAAAGGTGTGCATACATCTATCAAGCACATCTGTGAAAAATTGGCACTAGCTGTCAAACAATGCAATCAAGATCAAGTTACAGTCAGTGTTATCGGTGTCAATGAAGGAGGTTCTAGCGAAAATCTCAATCAGCTAGAGCCTTCCTTCATGTATACTCAAATATTCAAGGAAATACTCCTTGACATGAAACATGACCAAAAAGCCATTAAAGACTTGGTCACATATTGCCAAGTACAATACCAAGGTAATACCAAAGAACTGAAATTGATCGATGAATTTCAACGCACTTATCATCCAACATTGGCCTTATGGTGGTATACACGCCAATGCTTCACATACAAAATGCTCAATCGAGCATTACGAACATTGGATGGCGACATTATCATCCGAATGGGATTTTTCCTGTGTGATGTTCATCGACAAATTGAAGGATTACACAGCCAACAGGTCAGTCAGTATCATGGAAAGTCCTTTCTAGTTTATAGGGGTCAAGGATTATCGACAAGTGACTTTGAAAAACTTGCAAAAAACAAAGGTGGTCTCATATCTTTCAACAACTTTTTATCCACCAGTACAAAACGAGATGTTTCCCTCGGTTTCACCAAAGATGCATTAGGAGCAACCGATATGGTCGGCATCCTCTTTCAAATGACAGTAGATCCTACTGTCTCATCGACTCCTTTCGCCTCCATCGAGGAAGTGAGTTATTACAAGGACGAAGAGGAAATTCTCTTCTCCATGCACACCGTTTTTCGAATTGATGAAGTTCGAAAACTGGACAAGAAAAGTCCCCTTTATCAAGTGGACCTTAAACTTACGTCGGATGATGACCAACAACTCCATCAATTAACTGATCGTATACGAGAAGAAACATCGGGCAGCACTGGATGGTATCGAATGGGTAAATTGCTGCTCAAAATAAGTCAATTTGACAAGGCTGAAGAATTATATACAGCACTACTAGAACAGACATCCAATGACAGTGATAAAGCATCTATCTATAACCAGCTCGGATGGGTGAAACAAGACCAAGGACAATACAAAGAAGCAGCTTCATTTTATGAAATGTCTCTCAAAATTAAACGAAAAACTCTACCAGAAGATCATCCTTCATTGGCTCCTACATACAGCAACATCGGTCAAGTGTATAAGAACACGGGTGACTACTCGAAAGCACTTGAATTTTACGAAAAAGCACTTAAAATCGGCGAAAAAGCTCTGCCGTCGAATCATCCTGATTTGGCTACTTCCTACGGCAACATCGGTCAAGTGTATAACAACATGGGTGACTACTCGAAAGCACTTGAATTTTACGAAAA